GCACAATGCCCTGCCTCCCCAAGGTTTCATATCTCCTCATAGTTCCATGGGATGGGGACCAAATCTTCAACACATGGGCCTTTAGCAGGATCATTCAAGATTCAAACTATAACAAAGTAGATGGACAAAGTAAATCTATTGATAAAAACTTTTGTTCTAGTTATATGTCTACATGTGTTTCAAGTTGTAATGTATGAGCAAAGTTTCAAAGCATTGATCTAAACCTGTAGGAATGCATGTGCTGCTTCTATGGGTTCCTAATAATAAACTTGTCTAAAACTCCTGAGGCTAGTTTTGCAGAATTCAGAATATTCTAGCCTATAGGAAGATAATATAGTGCATAGTGCACATGGTATATAAGACCCCAGAAAAGTCAGGGAAGGCCATGATTAATACATAATTAAATACATAAATAATACCTGTTTCCTGTAGGAAAACCTGTATCTTTATGCTAGCTAGGAGGGATAGGAACTACAAGTAGCCTCACATGAGTTAAGTCAGGGTTTGCTGCCAAATGAGTGATTTCCAGAATCTTGTAGATTTTGTAACAGGGGAAAGGAATAGGGAACTTAGGAATTCCTTTTTTACTTGACTACTTAATGCCTAGGGTTGATAGGAATATGGATTTGGTATTTTTCATGGTAATGTTTGACATCGATTTATTTTGAGTGATTATTGTGACATTTCCATAGTTTGCTATCTTTTTATGTTTCCCCTTTCCTATAGTGTTCAAGTTTTTTCCTAAAACAACAAAAAACTATTTTTTGAGAAATCATATAATGTTTTAGTCTCTCTCTCTCTCTATCTCTCTCATACATCATCTTTTCCCTCTTCTCTCTTAAGGGATGGGAGATGTTATTCTTTGTATCCAATTTATCATAAATTTGTTATTAAATCTCCAAAGATCTTCTGACTTAAAAGAAGTGCATATAGTAAGACTACCATGTGTAAGAATTCTATCTTTATAGATAACAATGACAGAAAGGCTACTTGCCTGATCTTCTGTCCTTTTACATTTGATGCTCTCAGCAACCCTGTAAAGTAGATATTGTACCTATTTTTTTGGGAAGATGAAGCTTAGGTTGATTGGGTGACTTTCCCAAGGTTACTTAGCAGGCACATGGAATGTTTGACACTTGAGCCCGTGGTCCTCTGTCTCCCTTAAAGTGTTCTACTACATCTGCTCCCTCTTTCTGTCATGGCCTTGGAAGCACTGGAGACCACTAAAATTCATGTAATCTACATAAATACTCTTTTTTTCCCCCTTTGGTGCTGGGGATTAAATCCAGGACTTTGTGCATGCTAAGTATGTGCTCTGTAATAAACTAGCTACACTCCAGTTTCTACATCTGCATTTCTATAGTTATAAACATCTATGTATTTGTTTATTCACTGATAGATATATAGTATAATAAAAGAGAAAGTATGTCTTTACAGATTTGTAGCTTGGAGACCCATCTAATTTCTTCCCAGTCCACTCAACCTCCCTTCTTCCCAAAGCTCTCTTGGGTTGTCCATCCACCTCTGTGTTCTGAGCACTTGGAGTTGTGGCCACACTGTCTTGGAGGATGCCTTGTGGCCTTGTTCTCAAGTAGCTTAGTTTTATATGCTCTTGCTTCATGACACAAGTCTGATCTGTTTCCTGTCTTCCATACAAAGGAGGGCATCTGCTATATTTGGGATTCCTGGTTGATTATTGCTTGGGTAATTAGAAGGCAACAAAAAGGAAATTAGTTAAAAACAGGGTCCAACAAGCTGGTTTAAACATGATACTGCTCTGGAGAGGGAGAACAACAAAGGAAGAAGCAGAGGCTGGAGCCACAAAGCCAGTGTTGCAAAGATGCCTGAGGACTACTTGAGTAGCATTCTAGAGTAAGGCATAAATCAGAGGTAATATGATGTCATAGGAACGACAACACACTCTGATATCATGGAGTTCTGGTCCCTTCACTGTTCCTAGTGTGCTGTGAACTCTCAGAAAGTTCCTTTCTTGAGGAAATGGGCAACTGAGACCACTGGCTGAGCCTCAAAGAGGTAGAATTCGTTACAGTTGAATCAAATAGAAAAAAAAAGTCCTCTACTAATTCATTTTGAACATTTTGTTTGTGATAAGAAGAAAGGTTCAATTTAGTGCTAATAGGTCCTTAACATTTGTCTACCATTTACCAAAATACCATTTTTCAAAACATTCTTTTAGAAAAATACCATTTTTCTCAGTTAAGAAGCATGCATATTATGAAAAGTTTTATTTAGGTATACTTAACATCCTATAAACGCTATACACTTAAGTGCACAAATTGAAAAGTATTTGCTTCATAAATACACCTATGAAATAATTACCACAATCAAGAAAATCAACATAGCTATAACCCCTGAAAGTTTCCTAGTGTCGCTTTGCTGTAAGTATCCAGCTCACTGAATTTTCTGAAACTGAATGTATGTCTGTGAGCAGTACACAGATCAAGAAGCATGATCACAAAGCTGCCTTTTCTACTCCCCCTCAGCCTTTCAATGCCACTAGTTCAGGTCTGCTAAGCACTGCCCTAGTTATGCTATTGAGTTAAGCTGTTTGAGTTCAGATGGAGCTTCATCTACCCCTGGGCATAGTTCTTGACTCTTTCAGTACCAATTACCTGTAAAATGGGTATAGAATTATTTACCTCATTGATTCGTCCTTATGGGGATTATTATGAGATGATCTTTGTGCTTAGAATTTAATGTTAACTTAGGAACCAGGAAGTTTGGATATATACAGCTGTATAAAAGCCATATGTTTGTGTAAATTTTTCCATTAATTCTTATTATTAGATAGGAAAGATTCCCAGGCCTGGATGCTTGACCCTCTTCTTTCTGCTGATCTCATGCACTGTGAAAGGAGGGAGTCTGGAAAAGCATGTCATACAGCAGCTACTCAATAAATGCTTATTGGGTCGTCTTGACTTGAAAACTTGGTTTTTCTGAAAACCAATCTGTTTTCTCGGATGTGGCTAATAAATTTGTGAAAAGACCAACGGTTACCCACACAGAGCAAATAAGCCTGAGCAAATGGAATCTTGTTTCTGGGAGTGCAGTTCTGGTCAGCCCTACAAACTTATTTGGCACCAGAAGGCCTTACAAGAACTTTCTTTTAAAAAATATTAGCGTATGATAGTTGTACAGGGGGGATATATTGTGACATTTACATTTATGCTTATATCTTAATTAGCTTAACCCCCTCTTCCATTCTCCCACCCAACTTCTTAAGACAATTTCAGTAAGGTTTCATTGTTCTATTTTCTTTTGCTTTATTTTAGCAGTAATGGGTTTTGAACTCAGGGCACTCTACCACTTGAGTCACTCTGCTGACCCTTTTTTGTGTTGGATATTTTTAAGATATGGTCTCATGAACTATTTTCTGAGTCTGGCCTTGAACTGTGAGCCTCTTGATTTCTGCCTCCCAAGTTACTGGGATTATAAGCATGAGCCACTGATGCTAGTTCATTTTTCTATTTTCATACATGAATACAAAATACATCCACCATATATTCGGCCTATTTCACCCTCTCCTTTTGCCTTCCCCCCACCCCCTAGACAGGACCCTATTTTTCCCTTCCCCTCCTTTCCCTCTCTCTCCTCCTCTTTCCCTCTCCCCCTCCCTTCCTTCTTTCCACTCCCTTCCTTTTTCCCTTCCCTTCCTCCCTCCCTCCCTCTTTCCTTGCTTCCTCCCTCCCTCCCTCCCTTCCTTTCTCTCTCTCTCCTTCTTGCTTTCTTTGTTGTTGTATGTAAACTGTAGACACAGAGGTAGCAAACTATCTTGAATTTTAGGAGGATAAAAAAATGAATCAACCTGGAGTACTACTGGCATTTCTTTCCTGATCTCTAGTAACAGGATTTTCATTTATGAATATTCATTAAGCTCTACATTACTTTAAAAATTATAGTCTAATTTAGATGTATTAAAATGCATAATTTTCAAGTATATATGTATTTTAAAGGTGTAATATTTAAAGTATAAACATTTTAAAAGTATATAACTTGATGCATTTTTACCTATAGCTCAACCATGTAAACATCAACTAGCTGAGTGTGCTGGCATATGCCTGTAATCCTAGCACTTGGATTCTGAGGCTGCAACATTATGACTTTAAGGACAGCCTGGGCTAGACTGAAAGGTCCTATCTCAAAACAAAGTGCTCCCCCCGCCCCCCGCAATAAAAGGCAAAAAATATTGCCTAAACCAAGATTTGGACCATTTCTATTACCCCTGAAATTTCTCTTGAAATATAAATTTCTCTCTGGATATAAAGACTTTTTGATTTCTACTCCCATAGTCTTGGTTTTATTTATTCTTGAATTTCACATGAATGTGACCATACAATATGTACTTTTTTGTATTTTGACAGTTTTCACTCAATGTGATTTTCTGAGATTCATCCTCTTTATAGCCTAGAGCCATGTTTCATTACTACTTACAGAGGAAGGAAATGCTGGGTTATAAAGTAGGTATATATTTGTCTTTATTAAGGATTACTAAGCAGTTTTACAGAATGGTCACACTTTTTTTTCTTTTTAACCATTTCCTCTTATTGCCAATACTTGGTATTTTTGGTCTTTTTGAAAGTTGTATATTTGTATGCAATTCTTTATTCTCTGTGTATGTGTTATAATTCAATAAAAAGTGAAGTGTCAAAAATAAATAATAACGATAATAGTAGTTGTATAAAATATCAAAATGCTGACAATTTAAATAAATCTTCTGGTTATTTTATTGACAACTGCCAGGAATATGATAATTGACTGTTGTCTTATTGAATTGATGTATTTTTACTTTATGTTACATAGAATATTAAGTGGTTAAGTCTTGGGATTTTGGGAGAAAGTGTTATTTCTGGTAGGGAAAAAAAAACAAACCCTACCACATCTCTTCCAAGATTCCTTGAGAGACCTTCTCAGCTCCATTTCTATCTTATTTTGATAGGAAGATTTTGACTGGAACTCACTATTCTTCTTTTCCATTTCAGAGCATAAATGTCCAGTGGATGAGCGAGAACAGTTGGAAGAAACCTTGCCCCTGGTTTTGGGACTTATCTTGGGCCTTGTCATTGTGGTAACGCTCGTAATTTACCACATCCACCACAAAATGACTGCTAATCAGGTGCAGATTCCTAGGGACAGATCCCAGTACAAGCACATGGGCTAGGGCCCATTAGGTAGGCAGCCCTCAAGCCCTGTCCCCCAACTGGATCAAGTAGAAAAACAAAAGCACTTTCCACCTTGTACACAGGAAACACCAACATAGCTACACTCCAACAGTCCTGGGCATCTGAGGCTTGCTTGACCTGCGTCCATGCTTACACCCAGGAATGGGGGTTCTTTGGATTCATAGGACAAAATGACAGTTGCTTTCTCCATGCTGGAAATTAAGGGGGAAGGAGGGCAGCCAACTTTTATACTCATGATGGCTTGGATTTGATTCCTAAGGAGCAAAAATACCACTTGGAGAGGTATCTGGCCCTGAAGTTTGGGGTTCAGAAACACACCTTTCTTTTGGGAAGAAATCTTTGGGAAGATTCCTCTTTAGATTCAGAGGGGTAGGGGGTGCTATGCTCCCTGGTCTCAGCTGGCTTATCTATACAGTTTTCAATGCACACAAAATACAACCTCATGTTCCCTGCAGCAAGACCCCTGAAAGTGACCCATGCTTCTGGCTGGCGTTCTGCATGTCTAGTGATTGTCTTGGGAATGTTCCACTGCTACCTGTACCAGTGACTTTGCAGCACAAGAACCTGTTAAATGTAACTATGCATATCTGTTTGGATTCATGTGTGTCAGGTCCGAGTAAGGGGACCTGAAGAATCAATCCGTGTGAGTTTGTTTTCAAAAATGAATTAAAACACACCACTCTCTGGTCTTTGGCTGCTTCCTTGAAATAAGAAAGCAAAATTAAAATATGGTTTCTTTGGCAAATGGATAAAGGGAATGACACAGGTGGAGTTTTTTTTTTTTTTTTTTTGCAAGAGAAAGAATAAAAAGGGGGCAGGTATAAAGTGATGAGTGTGTTATTCAGCTTTCCATCACTGTGACAAATACCTAAGATAAACAACATATAAGGAAGGAATGGTTATTTTGGTTCATGGTTTCCATCCATGGTCTCTTGGCTCTGTTAATTTGGGTCTGTGGAAGTGAGTACAGCATGGTGGGAGCATAGGACTGAGGAGGTTTGTTCACCTCCTGGTGTCTAGAAAGGAAAGAGAGGATATTGGAAGTAACTAGGATCTAATATCCATTTTAGGGGCAAGCCCCCAATTACCTAATTTCCTTCTACTAGGCCTCACCTCCTAAAATATCTACCATGCCCTAGTAGTGCCATGGGCTATCAAACGTGCCCTCAATGGGCCCTCGGGAGCCATTTAAGATCTAAACATAACAAGGGAGAAGCTGACTTTCTGGGTGAAGAGGCATGAATTTGTTTTGATAAATATAAATAGTTTTAATAATGTTACCTCTTGATGATGGGCTTAATGTGGTTTCTGATGCCTCTTGGTCTTGAGTTTGGCATTTTACCTTGAGTTAAAAAGCTGGACATGGTAGTCTAGGTTGAATTTTTTTTTTAAAAAAATGTAATTTACAGAAACTTCCTAGAGAAATGTGCATAGTTTGTTTCTGACTTTTTTTAGGTACTAGTGTTTGAACTCAGGGCTTCACACTTGCTAGGCAGGTGATCTACCACAGAGCCAGCCTTGAATTGTATTTATTTTCTAATTTTTTTTAAGAACACAGTAGGGGTAGAGGAAGTTATTTCTTCTAGTTTTAAGGTTCACCCTAGACCCCATATAGTCTTCATCAAATGAAAGGTAGCTTATGAGTTCATCTCCCTAAGTCATCAACTGCTATGAGCTCTGGGCATCCTGGAAATTCACTATTCCAGCAAATTTTGCTAAGTACCAGTCAGTCACAGTTCTATTACCCATTTGTTTGCTGCTCTATCAAACTTGATCTTCTCCAGCTGATCTCTCTTTAGTGTCTACTTGATATCAGTAAGAGAAGAATTCTTAATTCCTCACAAATTTGTATAAGGGAAAGGAGACAACTTTGGTATCAGTGTTCACCCTCAGGGATAGTGGGTTGCATTCTTGTTTATCTGTGACCTTCTTACCCCTGTGTTTCAGACTTAATGAAATCTTTTAATTTTAGCATCTGTGCATTTAAAAGAATTATATTATTTATTTAGAATGATCCTAGGATTTGGGGGAAGAGTGGACACTTAGATATAGCTAGGACTTCACAACAAGTTCCCATTCCTTTCTGAAACCCCTTCAGAGAAAAAGCCTTAAGTCTTTCTGACTATAAGAAAGTCCCTGTGAAAAGGGATTTTTCACTTTTCATACTTCTGAAAATTTCCTTTGGTTTTTTTTCAGTTTTCATTTACAAAGAATGTACTTATTATTAGTTTTGGAATTGTTATTCATTCATGTGTTCCACAAATACTGAGTTTAAACACCTGATGTCATTTTGAGCACTTACTGAGTGCAGGCTCAGTACTGAGTACACAGTATAATACAGACAACTTAGAGTCCATAGGAAGATGACTGACGAGAAAAAAAAAATACATCAACACATCGTTCTGAAAAAAAAAAACAAAACAACCAGAGTTCCCAGTCTCTTTTTGGATTGCTGATATATGGCTGTATCTCTGTGTCTCAGCTGACTAATTAAATCTTTCTGGACTCCAAATTTCTTAATTCTCAAAATTAAGAGGGATTTTCCTATCTGTAACATACAGAATGAATAAGAACCAATTGTTGTTATTTACTACTATTGTTATTACCATCATTACTTGCCATGTCATTTTTATCTAGCTGTCTTAAAATTAGATCTTAAACACAGCCTAATTTCTTTTAAAACCAGTATTATTTCTCTCAGCTCTGTCTTTATTTTCACAATGAACTCAACAGGATAAAGGTGAGCTTTGGGATGTAGAGCAGGAAAGGAACAGTGCTGCCTGAGTATTTCTGTGCTCTACATTCTTCCAACATCCAGAGGGACAGACTGTATCCTGTACCCTGCTCTGAACTTCCTTCATGCCCATTGTCATTGTCTCACATTTTGTGGCTGCTCTTGGAGCAGGCAGAAGCAGTGCCTCATCTATCTGCATTGCTTTCCCCTGCTTGGAGACATGAAAGGAAACAAACAGATAAACCACAGATGCTCAATTACCCCTCTTACTGTCATTTTTCTTTTTTACTGGGACTTTAAACACAAATGCCTCTGGTCACAGAAGGATGCTGGGTCTGCTTGCCTGGAAACACAAGGCCAAATGAACCATAGAAGATTTCATTTGGCAGAGAGCGACTTTGATTTAAATTCTGAGCATGGTTCTTTGCAGAATTTCCCTACTCCCAGGAAACACCTTTCAGTAAAATTGCCTTAGAGGACATGGAGAGGACAGTCACTTCTTACCTGGATCCTGAGAAAGTCCTTCAAACTATAATCATCTTCTTTTCACCAATTGTCCAATCTTTCCATTAACAAACTCTTGGCAAAGCTACATGGGAGACATCAGGGAAATGTGAATGGAGAAATTGGAGGAGAGGTGTTAAGAACCACCATCCATGCTGGTCAACTCTGATAGAGCAGTGTGCTTAATTCATGGGCGTGTTTTATTGGGGAGGTTAATCCAACTTAACATTGGGCACAAATGCTTCCCTGAAAAGCCAACCCCAGTATTGCAAACATGGAGTGACCTGACTCAGAGCGCTTTACGTGTCTTGAAATGTAGTTTGAAGGTAGCCTTCATGGAATCATCCTAGGAGACCATTGAAAAAAAAAAAACATTTCTAGATCATCATCCCAGACTTGAGCATCTCTGTGGTAAGATCCTAAAATCCTCAGTTTTACTATCTTTCCCAGGTGATTTTGTTGTAGAAATATGAAAACTTCTAGCCACAAAGACTTTACTATAAGCATATCAGCAACAGTCACATTATTGGTTTTCTCTTTGTTCATTTTCTCATTTGAAAATAGAGTTCACTCTCTATTCTTGCAAAGTTATTTGAGGGTTCATGAAAGTACATTTAAGTTCCAGCATAATGCCTGGCACCCTACAGGTACTTCACAACAGATATCATTAATAACATTTTTCTAGCACAATTCTTAATATGTTTTTTTCTAATTTTACTTGCCAAAACAAGAGTTCATGAAAGAGCAAAAGGACTAATGCTCTGGTTTTTAGCCCAGCATCCAGTTTTCTGTGTTAGTTTATTTGACTTCAGGATATATTTTTTATGGAAGGATTTCCCTCACCCCCAGTTCAGTAAACATCTTGGCGGGGGGTGGCTGTCAGCTTTGGAGTGAGAGGGACTGTGTAGAGTGTATTAACTTGAATAGAAAAAAATTATGCCATTAGTATTTACTAACCTCAAATGAAAAGCATAATTTCCTTTATAAATGTGGGTCAAACCATTACAAGAACCTATGAATTTGTCATCAGTAGAAATCACTACTTTATATTTTTCAGTGATACCTTAAAAATCATTTATACTTACTACTTTGAAATTATGATGGCTATTAAATCCATCATAAGATCCTGTTATCTAATGCATTATAGCTACAAAGCTAATTTCTGATAACTACACTTGAATTGCTTTTCTTTGTAAATATATGTATTTTACTTTATGCATTTAAAAACATTTTTCTTGAGCAAGAGCTCAAAGTTTTAGATGGTCAAGAGAGTCCAGGTGTTGAGCGCTACAGGGTTAATGGCTATTTCAGCTGTTATTTAAATTGACTGAACTTATTTGTCTGCTATGGAAGGATTCATAGAGGCCCACGTGACAAATGAGATCACATTATTTTTTTTAGCACCAGTCATGTACTGGCTAGACCCTTTTCTGGGTGTTGGGGATGCTTCACTGAACAAAAGGTAAAGATTAGTGCCTTCATGGAACTAAGTTGTGTGTGTGTCTGTGCATGTGTGTTACGTGTAGGTGTTACAATTAATGTACAGTCATCGCCAAATCCTTTGGGGCCTTGACTATCTTAGTAAAGTGTGATATAGAAGATCTTGAAGTACTTTCTTAGCTTTAATTTGCCTTGAGCAAACCTTTCGAGACAAGGATTCTTTGCATTTAAAACAGCATATTTTGATACAGAAATCAGTTGCTACAGATCAGTTCAGCATCCTTGGAACAAGTTCTCTTTTTGTCCTTAATTAAACCTACTTATGTAGGAGCCACTGTCAAAGTCCCACCTATGTTCCCTGGTCTTTGCTGGAGGTCATCTTCTGACAGTTTCAGTAGCTTCTTGTGCATCTTTGGCAGAGGGAGTGAACTGCATCCATGTGCAGGACAAGCTGGACGTTCTGGGAACTGATACCTAGAGGCAACTCCTAACCAATAAGGCATAGGTGATGGCAAATAAGTACAATGGCATTCTCACTTCCAGAAGAGCAATGCTGAAACATCTCACAAAAGACCTCCAATGGTGTGGAGCCAGTGCCCTTGCTGGTAACCCATTCATCACACTTTTTTGACTTGCTCCTCTCTTTGTCCCCTTTCTCCACTCTACCATGTTGAGCTTGTCAGGACAATCTCCCAAATAAACAATTTGTGTCTATGTCTTCTTTCCAGGCTTTTCATTTGGCATAACCCACACTAAAATAATATAAACTCAAAATGGAAGTATAACTCAAAATGTACACATTTCAAGGCTCAACCTGACTAACTTTCCTACATAGCCTGGATTTGTACTGTATGATTTCACTTTCACAAAATTTCTTCTGCTTAAACTAATCTCATAGCACTATTCCTTTGACAGAGTTGAACAAGAAGTATGAACTCATTGAGTTTTTAACTTTGTGGATTGATTTTCTTTTTCTAGTAATTGTTACTGAGTGTGTTTTCCTCAGTGGGTAATGGGGACAGAACCACAACTCAGCCATTTATTGAACCTAGTATTAAAAAGTCAATCTCACTTCAGTTAAAAAAATAACATACCTCTCCTTTGCTCAGGATGTATCAGAGAAAAGGGTAGCAGTAGGGAAATAGTGGCAGGAAATGCTCTTTGCTCTCCAATTCCCTCTTTCCTTTAAACTCCCCCAAATCATGAGGTCTCACATTGACACATAGCCCAAGACTGGAGACCAGTAGGAAAAGGAGAAGGGAGGTTCTGGTAATCTAGCTGGCTATAGTCAGCTTGCAATGTTATTGGAGGGAACAAATATGTCTGAATCTCATTTTGGATCCTCCTGAAGAATATAACTGTTGTTTAGAGTGGTCTTGGTGTAGATGATTTGGAACTTCAGCTCTCCTCTGACCCCCTCTCACTGCAGAAAAGCAGCTGTAACTCTCTTTAGCTCTCCCTATGGTGTATGCCTGAATGTACCTGTGGGTTGGGCATCTTATAACTTAATAAAGTAGTTTGACATATTCCCTGCTTCTCCATACTCCACCAAATGTAGCCAAAAGAATTTGATGTCTTCTACCATCATAGCAAAGATTGGGGGAAGGTTACCTCCATCTTTCTCTTCCTTAGAACTCAATATACTACATCCTATCTCATCATGCTGTCTTAAGGTACATCCTGAGGGTTTTCACCTTCCAAAATTTCCAGATGAGAAATGGGCTCTTTTATATGAGCAACACCCTCAACTGCATGGGATCAGTATTAATGTCTTCCTGTCACCAAAAGAGGAGGAAGGGACCCAGTACTCTCTTTTAGGTTGAAAAAGCACTCACTACCTTCTCTAATCTAAGTCTTTTTATATATTTTTGTTGTAAATGCTCACAGATCAGTTCAGCATCCTTGGAACAGAGAGGTAGAATAGGAGCCCTTAGTCCTGAATCTGGTTTTCCTGGAACTTGGATTTCTAAAATTCATTTTCTTTTTCTCAGTAGTGATATCTCTACACAATCTTACACTCTCTGTAAACTCTGAATGTTTATCCTCAGTTCATGTCATTATAATGTCACATATAACTTTATACCAGCTCATTTACATTTCCCAAAATCACAAAGAAACCATTCTTGGTTACTCATTAGGATAAATTCAGAAAATCATGAGCATTTCCAATAACACAATGGGGAAAAGGCAAACATTTATTTTTATTTGCAAGTGCAGTTTCTGCCAATAGTTAGTGCTCACAGATCCTTTTAAGCTACAGTAACTTTTGGTAAACTCAATGAATACTTTAAAAAATATCCAATGATAAGAAAATTACAGAAAAAATTTGCATTACACTGTCAAAAATGTTTGAATCCAAAGTCCATTATTTTCTGCAATGGTTTTTAATGTTCTGGTTAAAAAGTATTTTGCATTTTCTTTTCTTTCTACATGTACATAGTCCTCCTTAAAGTAAGATAATCTATTCCATGACCTTTTAGGAATGCCATTTTCTGGATTTAGTTTGCTTTTATCTTTTATTCTTACATATTTATATGAATATTTTAATATTTTACATAAAACATTGACTTGCTGTATTTTATGAAACAAAATCATAGATCCTATTCATGGTGAGGCATTTCCAGTTTGAGGGAAAAACTGAAAATCTAATCAGTACAAGGTCATTTTATGCCTTTTTTTCCTTTTTAACTATAATAAATAATTAGCAACCTATTAATTACAAAAATTCTTAATTATGCTTAGAGCAACCAGAGCATTTTCACAAATTTAAGTTCATATTTGTTACAGTAATGCGAAGTCATTAAGAAAAGCCTCTGGTTTTCCAGTTTGGTAACAAATGGCTTTTGTCTGATGCATAATTAATAGAAACAAATGATGACTATGTAGCTCTTCCAGAGTTTTAAAGGCAAATCTATATTGGCCTACAGTTAACATGCAAATTCATCCAACAAGCAACACAAAATGTATTGTAGTAGTCATTCAGTTTTTATCAACATTCAAGAAGATCTAGACAGCAGCACAACTCTCCTATGTCGGAAACACATTAATTATAACATGGTCACAACTGAAGTCAGATCATACCTGGTAAAATACCCCCTTGCTAATTCATCCTCTAGCATCAGTTCAGATTTCCAGCACGATATATGAACAATAGCAATTAATACTGTGGTACAAAGGTAAATACAGACAAGAGTTTGGTGTGCTAGCATACAGAGTTTTCAAAACAGTGATGAACGAAACCAAACATCTTGCCTTGTTCACTCTCCTCTCCCTTTGTGGGCCTGGAATTCCCATGGTTTCACCGAAACATTCAATACGGGGAACCAAATCCAATGATCCTAGTGCTCAAATTGCTCCTTGGGAGGGAAATTTGGCCCTAAGGGATGCCATACCCATTCAAGTGTGGCACCAGGGGATACATCCTAGTGCACAAAAAATGGTTTGCTACTAGAAGCTTTGAAAAAATGTGATTTTTCAAAATATTTAGCTTTATCCCAAGGAATTTACTGTGGCTCAAATTTTATTTCATTATTTTGGGTTGGATAAATGAAATGTGCACATCATCACCATCACTCTTAATTCTTCCATCACATAAGACACTTGTTAAGATAAGAAAGATATTCTACTAAAGCTGACGGTGATTGAGAGTCATTCAGTATTCAAAGTTCCTAAAGAATCGTTGGTTCTCTGAAAGGGATAAAAAAGTAGGAAAGGCTTTGTTCAAACTCCTGCTAGTAAACAAGTATTACTTCAACTGATACAATGGCTACGTGACATCAAAGTACTATAAATTATCAAAACTATCGTACAGAAAAATTACAAATTCATTGCAAAATACATTACACTGCTACCATTAAGAAAAAAGTGCTTTTTGTTTTCCTTTCTTTCTTTTTTTTTTTTTTTGCCAGAAAAGTATTCTTTCAATATAGAAAATCCTATGCGGTACCCTGCATGTGGCTAGGATATATCATAACGGAGTTTGTACTGAGTCCTTCTGATTTGCTGGATGAAGGGCTGCAAAATATAACAATGACTTACAAAAGCCATGCTCCAAATGACCATGCCAGCTGTCAGTGGAGAGATGCCTATTTAAGACACAAGAAGATGCCCTGGTCTGTGAAACCCTGCCGGTCAGCGCATTGTCCCACCAATCAGCTGGCCTAGAATGCACAGGCCTTTTGCATGATCTGTGGTTTTCCTCATGTTCTCCTGAATTATTCTCATGTTCTCACCTAGCTTTGTCACCTAATGAAGCCTCTGCTCAGTGATGCCTATATTGTCTCATGAGGGGAACGATGCAAGATGGTGGACCTGCCAATTTTAAGAATGGATGTCCAAGGAGTTCCTGGGCTGTGGCTCTTTGAGAGGGTTCCCTCACCAACATCAGGTCTAGGAATCCCCGGAGAACTGAAGAAACCTGTGAAAACACAGAGAAACCATGCTGAGAACTACACAGGAACCTAGCCCAGTCCCCTGGAATGGTTTCCCAGTTAATCCTATCAACAACTTCAAATTCTTGACTTCTAATAGCACACATTAGTTATGTTTGACTTTGTATTTTATAGAAATAGAATACTGTGAACTGTCTGGCTTCTTTCACTCAACATTGTGTCTGTGAGATTCATCACCAATGTGTGTAAGAAAGGTTTCATCCTTTTCATTGTTGTATAGTGTTTATTTTTAACTATACCTCACATATTTATCCATTTGGGAAACAACCTTGGGAGTTTTTTCAGTTTTTGACCATTAGGATTCAAGTTGCTTTTGTATGTGGCTTGAAACACATTGGCAATCACTTCTATTGGAAGTGGGACTATTTTCATACAATACATTTTTAGACAGTTTTTATTATTTAAACAGTTCAAACTAGTAAAAGTTTCAAGTTCCTACTGTGTTTAAGTGGTTTCATTTTTATTATAGGTCCACACAACCTCTATTAATGATTCAACTGAGACTCTCCCTAATGTTTAGGCAAAAGGAAAGAGAAGACTCTTACAAAGTATTCTCCCCCAAAAGGTAGCTTGTATTCTTTCTTACTGTGATGAAGCAGAGGGAGGGAAGGTATGGCTAGGCCAGGGTTTATGGGTGGGTTCTGTGGACAGGGCTCCTCTCAGCAAGTCCTGTATGGAGATGACAGCACCAGCAGTGGTGATTCTTGGACTTATCACCATTCTCTTTGAGCTAGCCCTCGTTGGCAAGTTTTGGAAAGCAGGAAAAGACTTGGCCCCTACCTGCTTCATACTAAACATGCCCTTTGTCACCAGGAATGATTTAGCCCTTGCCAACCTCTCTGACATGTCCTACCCTGGTCTCCTCACTCACTTGTCTACAGCCATAGAAGCCTTCTTTTTTGGCTTGAGGGACTTGCCCCTGATGTTCCGTCTTCCCAGAACATTTTTCTCCCAGATCTTTGAATGTTTAGTGCCTTTTTTTCCATTTGGATCCCAGCTCAGATGATCCCTTCCAGAAAGGGCATTCTTGGCTCTTCAACCTAAACCAGCTTTTAATCCAATCCATCTCATCACAGTACTATTTTTTTCAAAGCAATGCAAGATTCACTGCATTGCATCATTTGTCTATAGTTTGTTATATGCTTCCCTAACTGGAATGCAAGCTCTATAAGAGTCAGGAGATCTGCAGTCTTGTACTGCAATTTCCTTAGCAATTAGAAGTCCCCAGAAGGTAACAGCAGTTCAATGAGTAAGTGTTGAGTAAAGCACCTGATTCACTTCTAACCTGTGCATTGAAAGATGAGAAGATCATGCCACATCTTACACATGAAAAACTTTGGAGGTAGAGAGGCTGAGTCACTTATCCATGAAATGAACAGAACTGAGATTTGAGCCTAAGTGACTAAGTCTAATGTTCATGCCTCTAAATTAGGAACTTTCTCCCCACAGGATGTGATATGCCAGTCTTTGAAACAGCAGAGAGGTATAACAATCTGTATTTAATGGCACTTAGTACTTCTCACCTTGTGTAGGTCCTTCACTCTTGGAGGTAAACTGTCTCGGATCCTCCGCATTGCCTGGAGGGGAGGCTCATTGAAGTAGGGGGGCTCACCATCGATCATCTCAATCACCATGATCCCAAGGGACCAGATGTCCACCTGTTAGGCACAATCGACAGGTTATGTTAGGCAAGGAAAACAGTATGGCAAACTGAATGTGTCCGTGGAACATCAGTATATCCATACTCATTCATAAACTAACTTGATATTTGTAACTTCTCAAAATTTATAATTCAGATTTATAGGCTGAATTGTTAGATTTCCAAGTTTTAGCTAATGGTCTATGTTTTCTTTTTCAAGACAACTCCAATGAAAGGTATAAATGAATATCTTAACATTCTAAAGTTTAGAATTTAATTTTTACCCTGTTAACTTCTGCAGTTAACTGCCTATCAGGGGAGATGAAAACAACCCAAATTTTACATCATGAAACTAGAGAAGAAAATTTTATTTAAGTCATAAGAGAAGTTTTTGGCATAGTCCTAACAAACTGCAAGAAGCTTATATAGTACAATGCAGAATGTATTCTGATACCTTTACAAGTTTAATTTAAGAAAAGTTCTTTCTCCATCTACTTTGGGGTTTTCCTTTTATGTTTTATCATTTTGAAACAGCATGCACAAAATCCTGCCTTATAAAACTATTTTCATTGAGTAGAGAAAGGAAAAGGAAAAGATGACAACAACTCTGTCTGAGTAAAGAATGGGAAGGCAGGACAATGAGAGGCCGTAGTGGAATCATAAATTTCCAGTTCTAGTCACTTCCTATTATGGCCTCATTACACCCCTTATCTGTTCTCTGCATTACTGTTATACCCCTTGTAGTGACCTTCTCAGAGGATTTATCTCTTGGTACCACAGTGGAGAACACAAGCTGAGCTCTCATCCAAGGTCAAGCACAGAAGAGAAAGAGAGCAGAGTCTGTCTTAACTTAAGCAGATATCCTTTGCTCATTGGTCCATGCCTCTAAGGCTTCTCCTCTCAGAATTACCATCTGTCCATAGTTTGTGGAAGTGTTATACTCAGCTGAAATGAGAGGCTTGGCTTCCACATGTGTGCAGCCTTGCATAGAAGCCTTGGAGCTTCTACCCATGCTATTCCCTCCTAGAAGGCCTTTGCTTCACTCCCTCTGGCCCTCCATTTTCGTATGTCTAAGCCCTGTCCCTTATTAGGTTACTGTTTCCTTTCTGGGGCAAGTAGAAATTGTGCCATGCTTTTGTATATGTTTTAATAGTCACTTATGTTCTTTTCTATGAAGAGGTATTGTTGTTCATTCAAACATTACCTCTACTTGTGGGACTTTCTCTGATCCTCGTTCCTTTCTCTGAACACCACACCTGCATCTCCAGTCACTATTCTAGTTTTGCTGTCTTGTTTTATGGATCCTGCCACTGAGAAGTCAATCAGTTTTAGTGACTCCCCTGTCCTCTGCTCCAGTGTGCATTGCAGGACTATAATAAAAGCCTCTGGATAAACACTATGGTAGTGATTGGCATACGTTCTGCCACAGCCTACTCTGTGCCAAGTCAGTGAGTGGGAATCATATGTAGACTCAAATTCATTGCTCTGATCTCCTAAGGTCCCCAACTATCTTATGAACATTGGGTCCCTGAGTCTATCCCAGCCCTTCTATTCTCAAAGGATGACTGTTACCTCCTTACCTCTGTCCCATAAGGTAGCCTGGAAATCACCTCCGGTGCCATCCAGTAGGGGGTACCCACCAGTGATTTTCTCTTTGGCACCTCTTTGGAAACTTGAGCACAGAAACCAAAGTCAGACAACTTTATCTAAAAAGAAAAGGAGAGTCACAAATGAACAATTTGAAAATACTACCTTCTAGACATAGAAATATATACATAGACCTAGGAATATGGACAGAGAGAGTTTCAAATTCATTCACAGGCCTCAGACCTTTTTATAGAAAAGGTAAAAATCCATTTCAGTGGACAAACGTTTCACAGGTGCACTGGGGCTGTCTCCCAAATGTCTGAACTCCAGCTTTTATCTTTTATAAAATTATGGGACAACAACAAAAAGCTCTTACAAATTAAATATTGCCAAAACTACATAATTATTAGATCTTAAAACCACAGCTTCAATTTGACATGACAGATGACGCTTTAGTAGAAGTGAATTACTCTCCATATAAATTCTATATAAAGTGCTGCACTTCTGGTTCTTTGAGTTGAACACAACTGGGTTTCTAAGTACCATGAGATAATTCAAACAGCCATCCTCTTTTCTATTTTTGCAATATTGCAAGAACTTCTTCTTCTTCTTCTTTTTTTTTGGAGGTATTGGGGTTTGAACTCAGGCCTTCATGCTTGCTAGGCACACACTTGAGCCACACCTTTAGCGCTTTTCACTCTTGTTAGTTTTGAGATAAGGTCTGACTTTTTGTCCAGGCAGGCCTGGACTACAATCCTCCTATTTAAGTTCCCTGCAGTAGCTGGGATAATAGGCACATCCAGTCTTTCTGTTCAGATAGGTCTTGCACACTTTTTGCCAGAGCTGGACTTGAAGTATGATTCTCCTGATCTCCATCTCCTGAGAGTCTAGATGATATGCATGAGTCACTGGTGCCTGGCAAGATCTTCATTTATCTATGGTGCTGAAATATCACTTTCAGTCTCAGCTCCCCTTTCCTTTCCATTTTGTTTTGTGCTCATGACAAAGTTTCGGGTGTGAGCTACACACGCAGAAACATGAGCATAGAAACTGGATGTCAGCACTTGGTTGTCAGGCATTTAAGGTTGTCAAGGACCCAGTGCATGCATATGCTATTTATTTTTTATATAAAAAATACTTTGAAAATTCTTGCTGAAATCTCCTGAACTGTTGAGAACAGGCTGAAGAACATACTGTTCTGTTAATGGCATCTGCTGACTTATGTATTCTAAATGACCAGGACTCAGTTTATTTCTGGGAGGCACAATTCCTGGTCACGATGACCTGCTCTGAACTTCAGATAGCATTACTGAAGAGAATACAATGGGCCACTTAGAGATATTTGTCATGATAGAATCCAAAAGAAAAGAACAGTTTGGCCACTGCTTAGCAATGTTTCACAATGACCATTTGAAGTTAAAATCTTTCTATAGATCAAAGGTACAAATTTTTAAGATACAAATTCTTGACATATCTTTCTGAACTTTTTCAACTTTTTTTCCTCTCGTTTTGCTGATCACATCTTAAATATTAAGCATCCCAAGGGTTCTGGTCTCAAGTCTCAACTTCTTCTCTTTTTACCTACTTATGCTAGATATTCTCTTCTTCCCTGTGCTTAAGTCAGATCACCTACCGCTATTCAAATCTTATATTTTGGGATAGGGGTATAGCTTAGTGTAGAGCACTTGCCTAGTATGAGCAAGGCCTTGAGTTTGGTCCCCTGCACCACAACAAAATGAAACGAAAATCTGTTATTATGTCTAACTAGTATCAGTTTACACATGGATGAACACAGGTACTTTCAATCAAACTCAGTATCCCATTCTCTGCTCTAAATTTGACCGTTTATTCTCCTATCCTAGTTAATGGCACTAGATCTACCTAACCACTAAAGCTGAATTCATGAGAATCAGCCTTGACCCTTTTCTCTATATCACCCCAAATTTTCTTCGTCAAAGTTTAAAAAGAGTCCATCTCTGTTTCAGGACCCACCATAGTGTATGACCCATAAAGGTCCTCAAAATCAAGTTTGTTGACTGAATGGGTAAGTCTCAATCATAAGAAACTAAAGAAGCCTTTGAGAAGGAAGAACAAATGCATTAGTGTTATTATAAGGATCAAGATTCAGCAGAGAGGGCTGGCCTGAAGGCAGGATTTTCCCCATCAATGTGTTATTATGATAATTTTCAAACACATAACAAATCTGAAAGAATTGTACAGTGAGCATTTCTATACTACCAAGTAGATTCTGTAATTAATTAGTGTTTTGCTTGATGGGCTTTATTACACCCATCTTTCCATCCACCTATCTTATTTTTGATGCACTTCAAATTAAATTGTTGACATCTGTATACTTCGGTCTTAATTTAACGTTGAGTTCAATATTTGTTTATACTTCAAGGAAGTATACATAAAATGAAATGCATATATTGTAGTTTTATCATGTGAAGAGTTTTAATAAGTTCACACTTGACAAGTATGCTTCAAAGTTTTTTTTTTTCTTTTGGTAGTACTGGGGTTTAAACTCAGGGCCTCATGCTTGCTAGGCAGGTCCTCTACCACTTAAGCCAGTCTGCCAGCCCTTATTTGTGTTTGGTATTTTCGAGATAGGGTCTCCTGAACTATTTGCTAGGGCTGGCTTTGAACAGTGATCCTCCTGATTTCTGTCTCCTAAGTATCTAAGATTACAGGCATGAGTCACCAGTGCCCAGCTGTTTCAAACTCTTATCAAGATAGAGGTCACTGCCATCATTGGGCATAGTTCAGTGGGGCCTCAGGATGTATGTACATGGTAGTCAACCACCCTGCAGAGCCAAAGCATGGGAAAAGAAGAAGTGTTATTGGAGAATTGTTTCTTTTTTTGGTGGGACTTGAGTTTGAACTCAGGGCTTTGCATTTGCAAAGCAGGCACTCTACCACTTGAGCAACATCTCCAGTCCATTTTGCTCTGGTTATTTTGGAGATGGAGGTTTGGCAAACTATTGACCCAGGCTGGCCTCAAACCATGATCTTCCCAATCTCAGCCTCTCCAAGTACCTGGGATTATAAGGGTCAACCACCAGTGCCTGTCTATTACTGGAGATTAAAGAGAAATATGTACATTTGGCAGGATGGCTCAATTGGTAGAGTGCCTGTGAGACCCTGAGTTCAACCCCTAGTATTACACACACAAAAAAGAATGTTCTTACTGGGAGCCAGCCTCCCACATGCTGAGAATTATAGGTGAGCACCACCATGACCAATACTAGATTGGATTTTCATTATGGAGCCTCACTCTGCTCCTAAAGAGCTGAGTAGATGCTCAAAAAACATATGCCACTAGATTTTATATTGATACACACATGTATGATAGTACATGTGATAGAAGACTTGTCAGAGACCTTTCTGAAATCACCATTAACATATTTAAGACGGTGGTTTCTAGAATGAAAGTTGGAATGCAAATAAAATGGGGCTAAAATTTGGAAGTTATTTTTTTCTTTTTCCATTTCCTTGTTCATGATAGTCTCACCAATCAGTCCAAGACTAGTGGCAGTGCAGTTTGGAGTGGAGGGCCAATCAGATTATTCTCAATAGAATGCTAAACAAAGATAGTTTAGTGGAGAGATGACTTTCAATTGCTCTGTTCTATCAAGAATCAACCCCAGGAGACTCAGATCATAGAATTTCCCATAGGGTATAAAGAAGAAGACCCTGTGGCAATGATAGCTCATCCATAGTCTTTGCTGCCCTATTGTAAAAAGGACTTCAATGGTACAGAGAGGTGAAAATCTTATTGTCTATCCTTTTAATCCCAGGGTTATTTTCAGAAGGGAGAGACAGTAGTGATTCTCTTTATTACATATCACTTTCCACTACCCCAAGCAGATAGTGGTAGCTTCAGAAGTATCTGCATTATATGTGTCTACACAAACAAAGGAGAGAAAGCCTATATGCATCTGTATTCAGAGATAATATTCAGAATATTTGAAAACCATATTAATACAGACCAACCAGAAGGTAGATATAGAATCAAATAGAATCTTGGATTACCCAAAGGAGAACCACCAATTTTAATGAGTTTAGGGGAGTCTCAGGAAAGGGCTGGGGTATTAGAGGATGCTCTAAAGATTTGAAATAGTGGCTGTTAATCAACTTCCATGAAAGTACTGCAATATTTTAAAAATAAATACAGACATCCTAGTAAAAACCAACTGAACACCAGTCTAGTCCTTGCCCAACATGGCTACCATGGAGAGATAGCCCAACAGTGTGGGTAGAAATGGGCTTGAGGAAGGAATGTTGGTTTCCATGGCTTTTATGCTGTGTTCAAAGGTTAGACATTCCTACAAATCTCAGTGAGAAAATGTGAATGTGCCTGGCACAAGCCCATTGTTGAGATGTGGAGTCAGCTAGTGGGACAGCTTTCAACATTTGAAGGCAAGAGGTGCCTTCCTGAGCAGTCCAGACCCTAATGGACCCAGGTCCCTAGTGGTCATCAGTCCTGGTAACAGGAGAGTCCATGTACATCAAGGTCAGGACCAGAGAGAGGAACTAGAAGTTAAGTGTTACCTCCCTCACCCCGAAGGCTGGCATGCCATACTTATCCCTCCTCTTCCTGGAAGCTACCATGAGAAAGTGAGGGTGAGCTGAGAAAAGGAAGTTGTTGGTGGTTAAATCTGAAAGACTAAGTTTTTAAAGGTATAAGCTAAGCTTTATAATAATGTAGTTAAACTTTGATAGACACTGTTTAAATCATTTAAGCAGCCTAAATTTAATGGACTGAATTAAAATAGAGAATTAAAAAAAGAATGTAGTTAGTAGAACTTTTGGGAAGAAGTGCAGGTTAGATTTGGAAAACTGTAATCTTTCTCTCGCTCTCTCTGGTTAGATACTTCCAACTGTCAATAAATGTGCAACCCTACTACACAGAGAGAAGAGGAACAACAATCCTGCAGATAAGTTTCCTTTGCCTATATATTTAAGAAACCTGAATGATTAAAAGAGGTAAATGTATCAGCATTTTGGTATTGGCAGTTTTTAATTTCAGTATCTCTAGTGCTAGTTTCTCTTTGCTGACATGAAAAAAACTCAAACCCCTCAAAATCTGGCATACTAATAATTATCTCCCTGACAAAAT